TAAAAAACGTGGGCACAAGATCTAAATAAATAAATAAATACCATTATTACTATTATTATTATTATTATTATTATTATTATTATTATTATTATTATTATTTCTTACTCGAGGACATCAAAAAAAGCTGATATTTCATTGCTACCATTGTAAGCTCCGCCCCCAGCCCCTCCCACTGGTGACCCTATTGGCGAGAGAGTAGGTCCTTGATAAAGGAACAGGAGCATCAACACAATCCTGCCACCATGCACTGGATGAGAACATCTAGTGAAGAGAATAAATAAATAAATAAATAAATACATGAATGAATAAAGAAAATTTAAGAAAAACATTGTACTACAGATCAAACTGTTCTAAATATACAAAATTCTGTACATGTACATGTACATGTAGTATTACAGTAATCATTGTTAAATCTAGAAATTAATTATTTTTGAGAGACTGATCTAACTCAAAATGGGAGACTTAAGGACACCTAGTGCTAAATATGAGATACCAAAAGCTGAAGAATGAGAGATTTTAGGAGACACAGACTAAAAATGGGAGAATAAAAGTCTCCTAAACTCCCTCTAGATCTAACAGTGATTATAAGTTATCATTATTGGAGCTTACCGATCTTCTACGACAAATAGAAAGCACATCAATAAATCTCAGGAGCAACAGGAGAGGAGCTGGTACATTAGGATCAGGAGACTATGTGCCCTAGTCTTTAGATGGTCCCAGATAGCCTAACTGCTGAAGTACAGTTTGGAACATCAGGAGGTCTTGAGTTGAAATTCTCTATGGGATTTTTGCTTTTTTTTACTTGAATTTTTTCCCTGTTAAGAAATAAATGCCCGGGCATTGAATCAAGCAAATACGGTATACATGTATATATAAATAGAGAGTAATCTATACAATTTTTGAATGGTTAACTTATAAACTTAACCCTGTCTTAAACTATCAATACCGTATAGCGGGAAATTTTGGAGGGAATTAAATTTGGTGAATTTAGCGTTTTGATAGCCATCCGCCAAAATAAAATCCGCCATTTTGAGCCATTATACGCATGCTCAATGGCACGTGACCACTAATTCACCAAATTAAAATCTGCCATCACTGATTCGCCAAATCTTAGTCTCTCCAAAATTTCCCGCTATACGCTATAAACAATTAAACATTTGACTCATTCTAAACAAGCAAGGATGTACATGTAGTAGTAACAGTTAATTAATTGAAGTTAACTCCACATGTTGCAATTGTTCTAGTGACTTAGAGAGGCCCCCATGATGTTGCATTGAGTATTATGCTCGTGAATATCATTTGCATCTCATTACATTATTTTGTCAATAATCATGTTTTACACAAATTTTTGAGTAACTTTAAAAATTCATAAAAATCCAATTTTGATCAGAATCAGCTCAAACTTTCTACACAACATAAGTAAATGTATATACATCAGAAAATATTATTAAAACTAATATTTCTCTCCTTTTCAATTTTGGCAAAATTTGGCCAACACCCTGTACTATTAGTAATGTGGTAGCGTTACTAAGTACATGTATTATTAGAATTGGGGGTACCTGTTGTTGTCTAGGATACGACCCTTGACCTCGTTCAATGCAGTGAGGAGACTCTTCT